AATGTCAGCAATGTGACTTAGATGATTGTCACTGTGACTTAGATGATCGTTACTGTGACCTAGACAGTCAGCAATGTGACCTAGAAAGTCAGCAATGTGACTTAGATGATTGTCACTGTGACTTAGATGATCGTCACTGTGACCTAGAAAGTCAACAATTTTACGTACCGAAAAAACAATAATGTGACCTGGATGGTCATTAGTGTGTCTTAGAAGGAGATATATGCTGTCTATATGCAACTATGTTGCCTAGTTGGATATTTATGTTGCCTGTTTATTTCCTAGACAGACACATATGTTACCTAATACGATCATATATGTAACTAAAATGATAATATATTGACTATATTGACTTTTATATTGTCTAGATGGATATATATGTTACCTAGATGCACATATATGTTGCCTAGATTATATACATATAATTATATATATTACACAGAGAGACACATGTGTTGCCCGGATGGTCATATATATTGCTTATATTTACGTATGTTGTCTATAGATGCACATATATATATTGCCTAGATGCATTTATATATTGCCAAGAGAGAGAGATATGTTGCCTATATCGTCATATATGTTGCGCATCTTTACATATCTTGACTAGATGGAGATATATGTTGCCTAGATCGGAATATATTTTACATATATGTACATATGAATATTCATGTGGTTAAATAAATATATATGTTACATGTAGTCTGTATATTTTATCCTAAAATGACTTATTTCTGAATGGAAACAACAAATATATAATTGAATGTATTACTAATTGCAGGTATTCTGGATGCTCACTCTGCTGGTAAGATTGGAAGTATGATAGGAATGGAAGGAGGTCATAGCATTGACAGTAGTTTAGCATCTCTAAGATTGATGTATGACGCTGGGGCTCGATACATGACTTTGACACATAGTTGTAACACACCATGGTGGGTTAGATGCATATCGCATCATATTCACATTATGACGTGTATGAATAGGAGATTTTAAGTTTTTGATGAGCAATTACTGGCAGATCTTTCATATCAATAGAGAATATTTAGCGTCTTTTTAACTTCCTGTTATATTTCGAACTGTTTCGAACGTGCATAACTTCGTGTGCTAAGACACGTTTTATTTATTAGTAATTAAACCTGTACAGTATCTGCAAGAGTATCATACCGTAATCAAATAATGACATTAAAATAACAAGAAAAAATTGCAGTCGTGGCTTATCATTTGTAACTTAATATTATTGCTGAAAGGTTTATCACTTAGCGATAAATTTATTACTTTATAGAACGACCATTAACACAACGATTTACCGAATCTTGCGACAACTGCGCATGGTGCTGAAATTGTCTTTTGAATAATGCCTGTGGATCATATGATTAATTTTATTATTCTAATATATCCTTTCCATAATGTTTCATTTCGGATGAAGAATAGAACGTTTTAATTTACGGATATTTATTCTCATTTTGTGACGTAATTTGAAATTGTTATATATTATATTTGTATACTAATTATCATTTTAAATGGGCATTCTAGGGCTGATAATAGTGGTAATTCTGGTGACTCATTGGAGTTTGATGG